TGCGAACGTGTTACTAATTAATTACTTCTGCGGAATGTAACACGAACTCATATAATTAATTAAATCATTCGGAAAATCAATACAAATAAAAATAGAATAAAATAAAACTAAAAATAAATAATAGATAAAATACAAATAACAGATAACTAAAATAATAAATAAATAAATAAATAATATATAAATAATATAAAAATAAAATATAAAATGTTACTCCGGATTTTCGGGGTTATTGATCAGCGAATTAAGGTCAAATTCGCATTCCGGTGACAATACTAACCAATTTAATAATTTTGGGTAGGGGTTTTTGCCCAACCAGTCTTCTGCCCTATAGATTAAAATTATTGCATGATTATATATATCTTTGTCAGCAATATGGCCAACAAGAAAAAAGTCATAAAATGGTTTGGGTTTTGGTATGTTATGTATAAATTAATCATTTTCATAAATACTCTGTTTTTCTTTAATTTTTGTTTGACCAACTGAACTTGTTATTTAAATGGTGTGCCACCAACAAGACAGCAACTCAAGACTCAAAACTCTGAATTCAGGGAAAAACCAAAACAGCAACCCAGGTTGCAACTTCTGAGTTGCAGAACTTTCAAGCCAGCCTTAACACCAACTTTGTACTGGAGAGGTATAACACAAAGTAATCATCACACAATGTCAACTCTCATCAGCAAACAATGCTCTATATGGTAACAGCCAGCCTGGTCTGAGGGGAATAAGGTTGTGGGCGAAACCTCCTTAGTAATTACTGAAACCATGGCAAAACTATATTAAAACTTATCAAAAATCCTGTTGAAACTATGCCAAAATGGTGAAACCTCAAAATGCGAAACTCTGCTGAAACTCTAATAAACAATTAATGTGTAATCTGCTGAAACCCTGCTGATTGATTTCTGGATGAGTTTTGGCAAGCAACCTTAGGTACGCCATTTCTCAGCATTGCTAACAATACCAAAAATGATTTTTGGGATATCACCATCTGCATCATCTGATTCATGTTTTCTTTTAAGTTGTTGAAGATTTTCCTGATGGAATTTATGGAAAGATCATTTAATAAAAGCTAAATTAATATTAAGCAAGAAAATTGGTTTACCTCTATTGATGCTTCTAATTGAACAGCATTTTGTCCAACTCCTTTTTTCAAATCATTGTTTTTTGATTCAGAGACCCCAGCAATCATTTCATCTAAATAAAGGATGGCAAAATCTAATGGGCCTCTACCATGAGTATCCTCAATGCTATACTCACAATTGATTTTAAAATCGCCATTATATAAAGATGATGCAGCAGCCAAAAATGGAAATATTATATGTGAACATGTTCTTTCAGATGAGCTACTTGTCAATTTAATTACTTTTGTTCGAATCTAATATTTTCTTAATGTGAATTATAAAATTTTTGTAAAAAATAAAATAAAATAAATAATATAGAAATCTTGTTTACCTTCAACTCTTCAAATAAATGATTAAATGCCCTCTCTTTGTCACTACCAGGTTTAATCGATTTTCTCTCTAAAAAAAAAAAAAAAATTTTAAACATTGAATACCTAAGGTGGTGACAACTATAATTTAATGAATAGCTTGCCAGTTTTAAATTTATCTAACAATTCCAATTTATCTGGAAAACCAAAAAGTTTGGCCATCAAAGGAAATGTCCAGTCCAAAAAAGGCTTTTGCACTTCAAAATTATGTATGTTAAACCATTGTGGTAAATGTTAGTAAATTTTCAAGATTCAAAATAAATTCACACACTTGTATCAATTTTCAAATTGATGTTGTATATAATGTGATCTTTACCTGCATTATTTTCCAAGTTCTTTATTTTTTTTTCTAATCTTTCCACCTCTTTTTCTAATATCTGTACTCTTTTTTTCCAGTACTAAAAAGATTATTATGGAGAATAATGCATAAAAAAATTATCGAATTAATGTTTGCAATATTGAATATTAAATATTAATTTATTGAAATAAACACTCTTACATTATTATCATTATTATCATCATTATTCTCTTTATTCGCACTAAATAAATAAAATAAAAGAAGGTTATATATAACTAGAGTGGCAACAAGTGGCGATAACCACCATTCTTACGACAAACACTTACACTTTTTTTGAACCAAATTCTTCTATGCGTTTTCTTCTTTTTTGTTGTAACTTATTTGACATTGGTTTTTTTTAAAATTAAAATTAAAATAAAAAAATTTGTTGATCGATCGACAAACATGTCTAATTATTTATGTATGGAACCCCTGTCGCGATTGTTTTTTTTTTTGGAAAACAATTTATTTTTTGACAGATGACAAACGCGAGTGATGTTTGGCATGATTGGTTCTAAAAAGAGACGCGTTAATAACTAACAAGAGATACCTTTTTTTTAATTTGCATTAATATGTCTTTTATTTTATATAATGTATATTATTGAAATCAAAACACGGAGCAGAACTTGCTGGGTAATTATAAGATTCTCATCATGATGATAAACGAATGATTGGTACTTTGCTTTTTGTAATCAACATTAATATTAAATATATATATAATTACAGATGTCAAGGCAGCACACCATTGAATATGAAACATTTCGAATATGCAATGTTTGATCGTCAGGAAATTTACAGACGTTGAAGCACGCACGCTACCTT